GTTGTCTTTGTGAAGCTGCACAATAGACAGAGTCCAAAACAAATTTCCCTTTGAGGACAATAAAGTATATCTTATCATGAATATGAACGTGTCCTCCTAAAAAGGCAGTATAAAAACACACACTCTCTCACTCACACACACACACACACACACACACACACACACACACACACACACACACACACACACACACACATAAAAGACAGCATCAAATATTACAAACAAGGTGTGAGTGGAGATTTCAGCTTAGACAGAAATGTATGCAATTGCTTAAACTGTAGAGATTGGTCAATAACTCTGATGATGAATAACTGACTCTTAAAGCTTCAATCCAGGGAACCAAGATTCTAGAAAACTAAAAATAATGTGGATGTTCCTTTCACTCTTTTTATGAGCCTAAATGGTTTTATTTTATCACAATGCTCAATCACACAACGGGTCATATCCCATGGGTCCAGGCATGACATCTGCTCTTGTGTATTTTGTGACAGCATCACACTTCATGACCTGAGTCTAATTCAAACTGACTCCAGCTTGAGGGAAGCAGGTGAGACCAGGTACTGAAACTAATTATTCCTCCACTCAGCTGTAGTTATTTTCTCCTAGACTGCCAAACAAATGCCCAATGTAAGAAGCTAAGCCTTTTCTGACAAGCACTGGTGAAGTGAATAAAAGCCATTATCCTCCACTGATTTCCCTTATTGAAGTTAAACCAATAAGGCAGCAGAAGATAAAGAGAATTAGATGAGGACTTTTTTCAACTTTGAGACAAAAAGGGGTTGACACTTGATATGAGGAAGTTGTTTTGGGGTAAACAGTGTATAAAGGCATCACAGTGTTATTACCCACAAATTATGCTATTCAGCTTTGAGAGAGGGGGAGGGAACTAACGGTATTTTAAAAAAAACACAGTATAGGCATAAAGACATGTCCCGAGGGGAAGCTCTCACCACCATACAGTTGTTGTCTCATCCATACGTTTTGATCACTCAGCTCCATCAGCAGCACATGTGTCACTTAGTTTGAGCGTTTAAATGGCAAACTTTAATTTCAAACACAAGAAACCCAGTTCAATATCACGAGGGCTATACTTTATTAACTTACAGTTAGCTAAACACAGACTGACATTTAAAAGGTCAGTTTTTGCCGCTGAGAAACGTCGTGGCAAAACATACACAAAGACTAAAACAGCCATAACAATGACCACAGAGTTTAATGATAACCTCTCTGAAAGGTCCTCAACACATAACAAACACCATACACTTTGGGTTTCAACACTGGACTGCTTTATTGCATTTTAACAATCGTGTCACCAAAATGCCTCATGGTTAAGAATGAAATTTAACTCTAAAAAACAGCCTTGTTTTAAACTCTGTGATTATGCATTTGTAGGGGTTTCATAGGAGAAAAATGCATAGTTGATCTAAAAAAAAAATGTTAAAAATCCTCAAATCTGCTGAAAGAAGAATTATCACTGTCTAATAAGCCACTCTTTATATACTGTTAGACATTTCTGTAATTTCTACAGTTATTAACCACATAACACCCAGTATAATACAGTATATCCTCTTTCCAGTAAATAACTGTAATTTCCATTGCATTATGGGAATTTTAGGTGTCATCAGACACCATATACAGCGGTTTACTGTAATTAAAAAATCTGATGTATCAAATGTTAAAATTACAGTAAACTACTGTATATGGTTACAGTAACATACATGTTACTGTATTTTCCCTAACTGCCGTTTTGGCACAGATGCATCAGTATTTTTATCTTTCATTCACCACTGCCAGGGTGGAAGCTCAGGTACACACAACTAAGACAACACCAGTGGAAGTTAACCTGTGGTGAAGAAAGAGAGCTACCGACGAAAACCCCAAGGTAAAAACAAAACAAAAAAAATTTATTCAAAAGTATGTTACTTGAAAATAAGATAGTTATTGTCTGTGCACTCAAACTCAAAGTGAACAGACTTGATGTTTAATTTTACAGAAGACTCTTTGAGTTTTAAAATCAAACGTATTATGTCAAGAGCAATGTTTAGCTCACATCAATAATAAGCTAGCTAATGTAAGGACTAACTGTAAGTTGTAAGTCAGTTCGGTTAATTGCATTATTGTAAACTGAGTGATAGCTAGGCACATTTCTAGTTTTAGCATTCATTTGTTGTACATTTCATATGTTAGTTTATAACTAACATAGGCCTATTCTAAATATGCAGTTCATCTTACAACTAACATAAAAGTCGATATGTTACATGTTCATGTTTTATTGTAGTGTGACACCATAGAATATAAAACAAATTAAAATATCGCATTATCCTCAAGTTGTAAAAATTAACGTAGTAAGTAGTTTTCCTTACATTAGTTGCAGTGGCTCAGTTTCTAGGCAAAAGCCACAGAAATATTACAAATTTTTGCAGGAAATACTAACTTTACATAAGAATAATGGAAAATATTTGTTGTTGTAAAAGAAATTTTCTCTTCCCTAAAGATTCTTCATGAGGATAAACCCAGGTGATGGAACCAAATGCACCGCAAAAACTGGAGTGAGTCATAGGACAGGAGAAATAGTGAAGAGGAAGATGAAGTCATCAACAACAGAGTGTCATCCTTTGTCCACCAGCTAACAGAGTTTGAGTGGAAGTACTTGGATTAGGTGAGACACTTTTTTCAACAGGATATGTACACTATACACAGTACAGTTGCCAGTTTATTAGGGACACTTAACTGCCCTTGCAATTAATTCTACTTTCACAAAGGCTACAATATTCTGTTTTTATTGATTTTAGAGTTTTAGAGGAAAGCTGATTCCACTGTATGATCATTTTGCAAGATGTGATATTGATATATTTTATCAACTCTATCAGTGTAAAAACTTAATTTATGACCAAAATTCTTTACCTACAGGGGAGCCTTCCATCCCTGAACAAGCTTTGAACAACAGACTTCCTGCCAGAAAAGGAGCGGATTGCAGGTCGGTTTCGATAACCAAATGTGAAGCGGTGAAAGCGTGTCGTTTATATTGAGTTACATGATTGGTACAGCCCAGAGAATATTTCTTTTTATATGTACTTAAAGAGTTAGTCATTTGACATGGATATTTCACTCATATTCAGACAATGTTTAGTATTTTGTACCAAAAAATTGCAGTATCTATTGTTACTGTTATTTCCTATGTTAATTTTGTTAATGATTATTTGTAAAAAAGCAGATGAGTATTTTCTTTGTGTTCTTCTGTTGTTGGTAAATATACAGTTCTGTATGCCGTCCAGATACTTTGTTCTGCACAGTACTTTCTGCATTGTGTTTTGACAGTAACATTGAATGCACTTATAATTGAGGTAAGGTTTATACATGTAATTTAATTTCTTTTATGTTATTTTAAATGAATTTCTGAAAATAACATTTCTTGTAAAGTGCATTAAGTATGACAAATGTTTAAATAAAGAATTTGAAATTTTATAATTACTGTGTCTGTCTGGGTTAAATCATTAGTACTTGTGTAGGTTTACAAAATAATGCATGCATGAATGAATAAATAATATATAATCTAAAAAAAAATACTGGGATTACAGTAGTGTAACTGTAGTTTTTTTTTACAGCAACAGTACTGTATTCTGAATTACATAATTACAGTAACATATTTGCTACTGTAAAAGTGAAAAACGGTTATAGTACTGTAAATCTGAATTACAGTAACTTACTGGCAACAGTGTTGCCAGTAAGTTACTAGAAAGTTACTGTAAAAACCATTTATTTTTTAATGCGTAAAAAAGCAGTCCAAAATGTTGGTACTTAATAAATGCATAATATGTTGATAATAAATTGATTTTGGTCCAGTTCCTGTGTAGCCCATTTTATAAGAGCAGGGGTTTTCAAAATCTGAGACTGTGGGCCTCCCCTCAGACAAAGCTTGGAAGGCACCCCTCCCTTAGTTTAGGCTACTTGGTTAGTTTTGCTCAAATAGTGGGATCATGATTATGTTATATATGATCACATAGACAGACAGATATGGCTGTTTGACAGCACAGACAACACCAAATACGTAATAAATGTCTGTCATTTATCTGGGAATGTGGAAATGTTTATCAGAACTATCTCTTTAACCAGATCACACAAATTTAGACTATTCTATCTCTTTTGGATAATTAATGTAATAACTAATGTAAACTTTTTCACTAAGCCTCCCATTAAACTGTTAGTCCCCCTTAGTAGGCCTGCCTCCCACTTTGAAAACCTCTACCATAAAGTAAATCAAAGACGTTTTTCCACAACCTGGCAACCCAAAAGATGTTTATAACTTTTCTACAAAGCATTCGTAGCCTAAATTATTTTTCAACCATTAATAAAGCTATTAGTTATAGCTTATAAATAATTTATAAAAGGGTGCCATGTTAGAAAGTGGTGGGCCTACCATACAAGATTTTGGCTGGACAGTGAGGCTACACCAGATCAGGATGAGGTGGTTTGCTCAAAGTCGGCCCTTTAAAAAAGCATTTTAACATGACGATTATGGTGGATTGAACTGAATTAGGAGGGCTATCAAATGCAGTATCTGTCCCAATAGGGATATTACAGGAAGAGTAGCCTATCATAGTAGTGTTATACCCAGGAAGATACAAAGGCACGATAAGGTCACTAAACTCTCTGTAGAGCAGCGTAGACACACTATGAGAACATTTTAGTGATAGTGCAGCGTAAAGGAGCTACAGGGCTTTGCCCACACCGGTTTACAGGCTACTGACGGTCACCTGCGCGACTCACATAGGGTCTTCACTGCCACTGTCAGAGGGATTAATGACACCCAGCAGGTCAGACTCACTCTACTACACCACCACTGTATTTGGCTCAATGCTGGGCGCCATGTGTCTCTACATAGCCTTGGCTACGTTCAGTTTGTGCGTAGACGTGCCAAGAAGTGTCAAGGTAAAAAAACACAAAAAAAAACAAAAACACACAGTAGACCCAGTATACATAGTTATAAGGCACACACTTACATCTCGGAGGACGGCGGTTGGCTACGGCAGAGGAGCGCGTGTCCGCACGCTTGTCCCATCGCGCATCCTGCCTCGCGCCTCTCCGGTTGACCCAAACAGCTGCAGTCAGGAGGACCTGGCGGGTGAGGGGAGGAAAAGAGGTGAGATGGAGCTGCCTGTGTGCTGGGAAAGGGGACGAAGGAGGATAGACGCTGGATATATAGATGGTTGGGTGTGTGCTGCTCTCTCTCTTTCTCTCCCCTCTCTCTCCGCTGCTGTCTCCTCTCGAGCTCAGACAGCGCGCGGGGATTGGTCGGGACCCGGTAACTGATACTCGAGCTGTGGTGAGCGGGGATATAACGAAGAGAGGAAGGGAGGGAGAGATGGAGAGAGAGAGAGAGAGAACTCAGTCGGTATTTGGACACATCAACAGTCAAACACGCGTCAGTCAAACCGGAGCGCAGGCACGTCACTCCTCCGCGTGCACTGAAAAAACAATATACCTCAGGTTATTCCTGCTCTTCCATGAGCGAATTCATCCGTGGAAATGAGAGTTGTGGTGTTGTGGAAATTCAACTTTTTCACAGTGTTTCTTCACACCTCGCCCCAACTATCACCACACACAGCTCCTCTTCCTGCACCCAGAATCCTGCTTCAGGATAGGACTTGCTCCTCTCCCTTCTTCCCAAACAGACAAGAGGTTTCATTATAAACCACATGTTGCACTCCACTCCAGTGTGTCTATCACGGGATGCAGATCTCAAGGGCCAGCACAGATCTTCTGCCTTATATGGGCTTTCCAGTATGCACAAGGAAGCAGCAGGGACTCACTACATAGTGAAACAAGAGCCTTTGAAATGTTTGTTGACATTCAAAGCCTTTAAATATACTTAAGGAGGCTTCAGATTTCTGGTGTTGTACATTCAAGACCCACTGAGGAGTTTTGGAGAATATATTTGCATAAGACTAATCAGCATTTTATGTAAACAAATATTAATCAGCATCTGACTTTAACTTTATGTAGCCTACAGCCATGGTCCACCTACACAGGTGTTTCCAATTATTCTGCCTGATTAGACCTCAAGGCATTGTGAGCATGCATGCTGTGATTGATTGACATCTACCTCACTCTCCTAACACGTTTTTTTTGCATCTGTTCATCATCATCATCATCTCTATCATTATTATTAGTTAATGAGTTTGGTGACTGCAGGAAATTTCTACCATAGTTCCACCCAACTCCAGCCATAACTGCAAACACCTGTGTGAATGTGCAGACCCTCTGTCTCATTTGGACCATGTAGTACCTTAGTAGAGGAGAGATTTGGGTTATAGATTGTATCTTATGTTCATTTCACCTTTTGACACCGTAATAAATCTCAGTGACTCTACACTGTGTTCTCTACACAGCTTCTCTGTTACAAGGATCAAAATTTGGCTTCAAATGGACAACAAAAGTCTTTTACTTGAATAAAATAGTGTAAAACTGTAGCCTAATTGGCCTGGGCCCAATTAGAGAAAATAGTCACATTTGAAGTCAAACATTAGGTGTAACTAACATTAATAATGTGCCCATTCCATACTGTGTTTCAGTAAGCCATACTGGTGAGCCCTAACAGCAGGACCATGGAACTGGCACACCTAAATGAAACAATGCCCTTATAAATGTTATGAATTACAGCTGAGCTTTTTCTGCTATTTTTTTGCTACAACACACTGAACAAATGTTGCACTTAAAGTGTAGTATAGGGAATGTGAAGGTACGTCACACAGTGTTGCATTATGGGATGTGGTAGCCATGTTTACAGGCACAATCTCTGTTTACCTTTTTGCTGGCTGTTGCTATGGCAGTTCTTGATCGAGCAGCACTGACCAACCATATCGAAGTTTAATAAAATCTCAACAGAAAATCCAAACACAGCCTCCAACACACAAATTCAAGTACAGCGGGATAGGGCGCAATCCTGTAAATATGGCGGCGGACCCATAATGAAACACGGCGTGACGTCACCTTCATATTCCCTATAACCTACCTGTAACAACAACAACTGGTACAGTATTTAGGCTGCGATATGCTTTATTTCTTGTAATTTAGTCTTTAAATTCTGGATGCATTTTTGGAGGTACACTGGGATTATGTTACTTCATTTGATGAACTGTGTCTTTTGTGTGACAGATTTGTACAGGCCTGCTTTGGCTGTATTTAGATACCAGAATGTGCATGTATTTATAATTTGTGGCATGTGGATGATCTCCATATCACTGTCTAAACAGATACAATCTGATTTAAGCCAGACTATCTCACTGTAATGGAGGAAGACCAGAAGGAGTCCAAAAATCAGATCCGTTGTGCCTGTGTAAATATATCCCAGTATCTCTGTCTGTCATTTTCAATATACCTTCTGTGACCCAACCCTCAGGGGGGTCTGTGGAGAAGTTTTATAGAAACTTAACAGCTAATCTGACCTTTTAAAAGCTTTTTTAAACAAAAATCCAAGAAGAGTCCTTCACTGCTTCTGTCTCCCTCTCTGTCTCTGCATGGGTCTACAGGATTACATGATGGATAGCTGTAGGTGAATGTAAGCCGTTTCCTGCTGAAGCTTTAAGTTGATCCTTTCTTATTTACCTCCATGCCTCCTCTGCTGCCATCTATCTCTTCTCCATTTTCCTTTTTTATTGTGCCTGACTACACCAAAGTGAACATTCGGTTAATATAAGAAACTTCCATTGAAATACACCAATGGAACCAGCCACTATTTTTTTTAAAACTTTTTCAGCTCACCGTCTTTAGTGGTTTTCTAAAGAAAAGCCTAATGTCAAAATTTGTTTAACATCAAACACAGGTGGTGGCCATAGTGCAAATTTTGGGGGTCTCGCTAGACCAGATACTAGTTTTGTCGAGACTGCCTATTTCTCACAAGAGTTTAAAGTTTCAGTGTGTATGTTTTAGTGCCATCTAATGGTGAAGGTTGTGAATTGCAAAAAATGGCTCAGTGTGCATTCACTTGCTCCTTGGACGAAATAAGTACTTAAATAAATGTGTTAATCCTAAATGCAATTGTAAATTCAGCAGTAAAAAACATAACTTTGTACTTTTTCTCCATGAGATTGTACATTATATCAATTTAATTTCTAAATCCAACAACAAAAAGGTTGTGAAAACTGTCAATATATTGTCCTCTTTTAATATCTTTATATAATATAGACTACCCCTGGCAAAGTTTGTATCCTGTTCTATATACTTCTTTATGTCCCATGTACACTTTATTCCTCTATAACTATACTTTGTAGTCTCGACAGATCTAGTTCTATAAGCACAGGCGGTCGGATGCTGATGCAGTAGGGACACTGCTATTTATACGTCACGCACGTATCGGTAGCAACGTCTTATTGGTCTGCTATGTGCACAATATAAATTTCAGTGGGCAAGTACGTGCGTGTGATTGGAGGAGGTAGTACCAATAGAGTCCAGTAGAGGGCGGAGCCTGTGTGAGATAGAACTAGGGTTACCATATTGTAACCTTCGTTTCAGTTCTAGCCAGTACCCAACAAGCTGTGATTCATTCTCCTTTAAACCCAGATTTGGAACATCAGTGCGTTCTCATTAAAATGCATTCGAGGTTCACTGTTTGCCTGGAAATTAATGTTAATTAGTGCCAGTTTTGATGCACATAAGAGCTATTGATACTTCCTGAATATTAGGGGAGTTACTTGTATAAGTGTATTGTGATTACGCCCCCGAGTTCTTTATGTATCTTGATGCATAGTTGCTAGATAGTGCTCAAACATTACATACAACGCCTTTAAAAAGGAAATTTAGGACCCAAGATAATGTTTATCTGTTGTTTACGTTGCAGGGAACCGCCAGCCAGAGGCATGCAGCACCTGATTTTGTTGTGTTAATGTTTGTGTCTGAGAAGCCCTGCAATTTTAATAGAGGCATCTTAGGTCACCCAGCAGGAGCTGTCAATTATAAGGTAGGGCAAGACAGACAAAGAAGCATGGAAGGTGAGAAGACTGAGAACAAGATTGTGACAGAGGACGCGAGAGGTGTAAGTGAAAATGAAGGAAAAGGGTCAGGAGAGAAGACCTGCAGGTGAATTAGGAAGACATGCTAACATGCTCACAATGCCAAAGTTAACATGCTGCTGTTTAGCAGGTATAATTTTTACTATTTTCAATATCTTGTGTAGTGTATTATATTAGTATGCAGGTACAGCTAAGGCTAATGGGAAAGTTTTGTAGGTATTTGGTCATAAAGTATTTGGCAAATCAAAATTTTGACCGGATAATGGCTCCAGATCGTAAGATAATTAGGATATATCCTCTGGCCATGAATGTATGTGGAAAATTTTGTGGCAATTCATCCAATAGCTGTTGAGATATTTCAGTCTGGACTAACCGACAGACCACCATTACCATCTGTGGAGCCACACAAGTCTAGCTAAAAATAGTGTAGTTTTAATTTCTTCAGAGGGACTTTTAATTTACGGTAGAAAATATTATTTTATTTGTTTCAATTAAACCTCTATCTAAACTGTATCTCAAACTAGAAATGTTACCTTTGTTTTGCACCAACAATGGTAATTAGTGTAAGAAACTCAGTTAACAAGCCTAACAAGCATTTAAGGTTGCAATTATCTAAAAAAAAAACCTTCAAAATCCTAAAGCAGGTGGGATTAAAATTTGCTAGATCTTTCACACATCACCCTTTGGACAGAGGAATATCATACTCAGACACTAACACACTAACACACAAAAAATACCAATATTAAAGAAGTCCCAGTACAGAGAGGGATAGTAAAGGGAAGCAGCTGTAATGTGACAGCAGTGTCTGACCAGTGCTCTGCAATAAAGTGCAGTGAAGCTTATTTTTAGGGGGGGGGGGGGGTCCTGTTATTCCTGTCTGTAGTTACTCAAACACACCAAGCAGTGCTGCTGCTGTAAATAAGAGGGACTGTTGAGCGAAGCAGCCAGCCACAGCTCTGTTCATTTTAAACTCTTTTAATATGTGATTGAAACTGAAGCGATCCTTTAATGTGACCCTGAAGAGTCTTCCCCTCATTAAAAACTGATTGTTTGTTACATAAGACTAAAATGAAATACATTTCATCCCCACCCCACCACTCAAGCTCAGATCAATTGTGTTGAAAGCGCTAAGCAGTAAAAAAAAAATTTATTATGTTTTAATCTGGCAATAAAAAAAACCCGGACAGTGTGAGATGTGCTTCAGTTTACGGCTCTGCAGAATCAATATCACTACCGGACTCAATGCTTGTCTTGAGTGTCCCATGGCAAGGTGTAATCAAAGTCTGTGGATCAGATAAGATAACAGCAAGACAAGACATCTCCCCTGACATCAATATAAAAGTTTAGTGACCGTGAAGCTAAAATCCTCTTGTTGTGATTCAACAAAGCTGTGCAGC